CCCACAATCTCAGCTTGAGCCAAAGTTCAGTTTAATATCTTTGCATTTATTTAATACTCTGTTACTTCCCTTCAAAGAAGAACAATTTAAATAATTCATCACTAAGTCTTGAGGCCAATGATAGCCTTTCTAAGTCTCTAGGTACATGGAGTCTATTATGAGTATTTGAGATACTTTATGGAATGTGTCTCAATAGTTACCAGGAAGTGACAATTACCTCTCAGTTCCTAGCTTGTCCAGGATCCAGAAAAGCTCATCAGGTTCCTGTAGGGATCTATGAATGTGGCAGAAAAACGTAAGAGATCCACAGTGCCAGTGAAATTGGGTTCTGTTAGGCTATGCCTAAGTATGGCCAGTTGCTATAGCAAAGAAAGGAGAAAACATGGTGGGATGAGATGGAAGGAAGGGTAGACTTGCCTTCCTCCATGCTGGTGGAGTGCTGGGATGGAGAACTTTTAACATGTTGAATCAGCTTTAAGAGGGAAATAAATATATCAAAACGATGTCAGAAAATCTGAATCAACATATCCACAGTTGCACAGAATTGTCATGTGACTGGATGCCTTTGCCCATTTCTTGCCTAGATTTATCATATTGATGATTATTAATAAGTAATAGTTATAGTATGTCAAGTTTTGTCTTTGAAACTTCATACACAGTCTGCTAACCCTCAGATCAACAGGATTTCATCAGTTAGAATTTTACAAACAAGGGCAACATGGATTAAGAATGGGAAGTTACTTACCTCAATTCACATCACTAAAAATGTCAAAAATGGAATTAAAATTCATATACAAAAGCCTAGTCAGTTCCTGATAGTTGAGACTTTCTCAGCAGACACACAGGTTTAGGACTGGTCTTGGGTCTCAATTCCAAGTTGACATTCCTGCTGAATGTCATGACTAATCCACTTCAGTTTGTGTAGCTAGAGTTTTGATATCCTTCATATTTACTTACCAACTTCTCTGACCTCATCCTTTACTCCAAATATATTTGATACTGATCCTAGCCCAGATCAGTGTTTCAAGACTCATTTTTATTTACTGCTTCTCATTGAGCAACAATCTACTTCTGAATCAATATCCCAAATGGATCCTTTTATACTTTACAGTTTCTCTGTTGCATTTGTTCTTCTTTGTTTTCATTATTCTCTTTACATTCTCTCTTTCCATAATCCATAATCCATTGGCAGATTGGGGTAAGTAAGACACAGCAGGGAATAATAGCAATGGTTAAAATGGGAAATGTATTTTGCATAATTTAGAAACAATTAAGGAATTAGTAAATCTAATATTTAAAGGGGAAACAGCATGTTTTCATCTCCTAGACAACCTTGGAGCTTTGGGCCCACTATAGAGACATATCTTAGACTTCATAATTCATAAATAATAGAAATTTATTTCTCATAGTCTGGAGGCTAGGAAGATCAAGATTAAGGTGCCAATAGGTATGGTCTGATGAGTCTTGTCCTCAGATGTGGTACTTTCTATGTGGCCTCACATGCTAGAAAAGTAAAAGTGATCCCTGACATTTCTTTTATAAAAGTCAGAGCCCTCATGAACTAACAACATCCTAAAGATTTTACCTCTTCATATCCCCAAGAAAGGAACTAAATTTTAACATGAATTTTGGAGTGGCCCATTTAGATTGAGGCATAGCCTTTCTGTGTCACCATTTCCTTCCTCCACGTGTCCTTCCCTGGTCAAGGTCATACTGTATGTACATCATCCAGGGCAGAGGACAATCATAGCTTATGTGCCCCTTTGCTCCCTGGGAAGATAGATCCATGCAAAGCAGGGCTCTCCTCCTGGGTCAATGCTAAGGGTACCTGAGGTCAGACCTTGATTCTAATTAAATTGTTCTGGGGGAGGGGAGGTGGGCATGAAGGAATAGAAAAGAAGAAAACTAAAATGTGTGTGTGTGTGTGTTTAGGAATATCTTTTTTTTTCATATGTCAAGATATCTGAACATAGGTGGATAGAGTGTGCACCTTCTACTCACTATGTAGATTGAGACACAAAAGGTGCTGGTCTGATAAGGAAAGGAAAGGAACAGATTATTATTAGATTAAAAAAACTGAGAGAAAAAAATATCACTCATCTAAATCCTTTCTTCCTGTATTCTTGACCACCCAAATCCCTTTTACTTAAGAAATTGCTCAAGAAATTTTCTATATCCACTCCTCCTATGTTTTGTTTTCAGACTGAAATTATCACTACAAATATGCTAGTTTATGTTTTGATGATATGGAATTCCTTCCTTCCCCAGTAGATCTTGTCATTATAAAGTGTATCCTTATTGAGGGAAAAGCAGTTACCTGTAACTTCCACTCATTAGCTGTATTTCTATCTCTTCAAACCAGATGAAACCAGCAAAATTCCTGTGTTACCTACCACAAGACCCTTCAGAATTGGAAGAAAAGCATTCCTGCTATTGGCCCTAGTCCCTAGGGAGGTTTTGAAT